TATTTTTTTTTATATTAATCTCTTGATATTCAATAATCACATTAAATTTTAAATAATTTAAAATCAAACCACGTCTAATCACAATAAGAGAAAATTCTCTCAACATTTATTTTTCCATTTATAACACTAAAACTCAATATCTTACTCAAGGGATATCGAATTTTTTACACTCATCCCAACAGGTGTTGGTACGAAATCTCTATACTTAACATAGGAAACATCATGCCGAACTGCTGTTCAAAAAAAAAAAAAAAGATCATGCTGAACTTGCAGGCAAAGCGTCCAGTGTCGCTTGATCCAAATACGGTATATAGCGGCAGCGAATGCAGCAGCAACCCACAACCATTCCTACGCTCATTTGCATGGCCGTCCGTCTATGAATCCCAAATCGTAGTACAACTTGTCTCCTAACCACAGAAGATTTTGAGTTCAATAATAAATGTTTTGAAGACTAAAACGACAAATTGATGAGTCTTCGAACTTGATGATTTTACATCAATAAGGTCCTTAATAATTTACAATGGTAATGAAACAAATAAGATGATTGTTTCTTTTCAACAATAGAAGGAACCTGTTTTATTTACCAACCCAGAAGCAGAAGCTCCACAGTTTATCGATTTCTGCAATTGACCTTCCAACACTACAACGTTTCTCGAATGTTTTAACATTTTTAAGAATGATAATATATATAATAAAAACTGCTAAAAAGTTGGAAAATTCAGTGAAATAGAACAGTCTGGAACTTAACTGCATTACTTACACTACGAGAAGCTTGTAACCTGGAAGATAGGGAGAGAAATAGAAGGGTGAGGAGCCCATGTTGGAGAAGGGGAGCACGTGCAAACGGCCATGGCCGGAGGAATTTGCACGTGCCCTGCTTCTCCAACAAGGAGCTGCCCACTCACTAGGTTAAAACAACTTTGAAATGCATGGAGGTATGGAACAAGAGGAGAAGGAGTTCAAGTATTTATAATAACAAAAAGCAAAAGCTAGGTTCCTTGGGATGGGAAGAAACAATGAGTGAAAATTGGCAGCGTTTGGGAGTGGAGAAAAATCCCTGGCAAGAGGCCATGCCATGCAATAATGAGCCACGCAAGGTCGTGATTCAAAGTAGATATATTTAAGGAAGATCAATGAATGTGGTTATGGTGACATGTGAATATGTTAGGCCCACACAAATCATAGTATAATTTTTTTTAAATAACTCTAATTTTAATTTATTAAATAACAAATTTGTTTTTATTCACAGAATCAGAAAGAGTTAGTATTTTTAAAAGCAATATTAATAAATTTAAATAATTTTAATATATTTATATCTGGCCATAGTCACACTCAAAATAGGTCAATAGAGGGTGGTGTCTGCTTTAGTTTCACAAAAGTGATCATCCTTTATTCCTTGGCAACAGACAAGCAGAAGCCTCTAAAAAACTAATCTCCAAACAAAAGATTCAACCCTTCCCTACACTAGCAATTCTTAGCCTTTGGATCAAGAATCTCATTCCATCATATGGGGTCCCACACGGAGTATGGGCCCGATTATGTGTGGAAGAACCTCTGCGGATAATGCAAAGAGTGCACGTAGGCTTTGCGTGTTGTGTTTTGGAGTAAGAAAGAGTGCTATAAAGAGGAGCAGGGATGCTCCCTAGGTTGATATGATTCCCTATAATGGGGACATGGGGTAGGGGAAGCAGCTTTCCATCCAAAACTTATGGTTTGTGTCATGGAAGAAGACTCAAAAGACTTATCAAATACTCTGGTGGGATGATGTTAATCTGTGTAAGCAGAGAAATGAGAGGCTCAACCCTAACTCCGAGGAAAACAGAAAAGCAAAGTGAGGAAGGGGACTGAAAAACATTTACCAATTGTATTGTGGAAAAAGGAGATAGATTCTATGGGGCATGAAGTCATGATGAAATCTAGAGACATAAATGCTAGCGTGTGCAATGCGTCTTCTGAGTTTTGTAGTAAATGCCTTATTTGGTCACACACTCATAGACTTTCAAAAGGTTTAAAAACCTACTCATGTTTCCGAGTTCCAACAGGCTCATGTTCCACCCCGCTTTGATGGATTTGTTTGACTTTACCTGTGGGGAAAGGAACAGCAACAAGTCAATATATTGTATGACGCATCAAAGAATAAATTTGACGCAAGATTTCTCAAGAATATATCATTTTTTTAAATTTAATTTCCTTAGTTTTGTACATAATTATAAACATTCATATTGATTCAGTAATTGAGGAGAAAACCTTCTCCCGCAATTACATGATCAAGAGAGAAAACATTGAGCACTTCAAATGGCCCTGGGACAATTTTAAAAGTAGTTTTGTGGATACCGTGTATAGTTGAAATTCACTTGAACCAAGTAGCGCATTCGGATTTGTTCCACGTTGTAAACTACGTACTCGTTGTAGAGTAAATTACCCTGCAAAAAATAGTAGAACGCCCATAAAAAAGACCTAATTTCTTATAGATCAATTATTAAGTCTCCACTAATCAAAAGTATTAAGAATATTCTTTTACTCGGCGTCATCGCTTCTTTGGCTTTCCTAGGGGAACTATAACACCATCGTCAAGAGTTTTGGCTTCTGAGGGACTAGGTTCAGTTGCACCGACGCCTTTAGTGCTGCAATTTTAGAGTTTATACCAAATTAAGTTCACATCAATAAGCAAGCATGTTTCAGAAAAGAAGATATACCTATATGTTAAGTAGGTCGGTAGAATTGTTATCTAAACAACATATTTAAATGCATTTTATACTATATAGGAAACTGCTTGAATTAAGGCCTACGCTTTTAAAACATAGAAGGCACCATCATGAGATACCAGTCTGTTAGTTTTAAATAAAACAAACCTCAGCTTGCCATCTGGTAGCTTGTCAGCATCACTTTTAGCTCGACGAAGCTCAACCATGTCACCCAGTGCAACCTAAAAAATACATAGTTCACATTTTATGAGAACATTAAACTGCAAGAAAGAAAAAGCAAATGCAACCAAAACCATTGTTTAGGCTTAGCAGGCAAACAACTGCAGCAATGTCCTAGAAAGACTCAAATGTAGAACACTGAACTAAATCAGATATTAGGCAAATAATTGGACCGTACACCTGGTTTCCAACTAGAAATATCCAATCCGTCATCTCTAATCATATTATAATGATGTGTGACACAATGTTGAAGACATTTGATGGTAATTATCCATTCTCCATGATTCAATTGGCATTAATAACTGAGTTAAGAACTACCTCACACAAAAGCAGGACACCAGCTGTTGAGAGATGATTAGCATAACAATAATTTGCACTTTTGGAGAACATGTCAGCAAAGTAGACCCCCTTTCCAAACATATAACCTGTTACAGGTGCCTCAGGTGGAGGAATGCGCAAACCTGGTGGTTTGTCATGGTTCAAGATGCAATTGTATATCAGCTGTAAATGAACGTGAGAGGGAGACACACCCACACACCCACCCATGATTACAAAACCTAATTACCTTCAGAAAAAAAAAAAAAAAAAGAGGAAAAGAAAAAAAGGAAAAAGAACAACCTTGGGATAGAATGCCAGTCCAATTCGTAAGCCTAGAACCATGCCACAGTAGCATTCTGTTTTCTGTAGTGGAGAACTGCTCAGGAGAATAAAATATGGCACCATTAGTTGATTAATCAGTTAATAAGGACTATTTTAGACCGCCATCAAATTTTAATTGTTAAAATATTCCAATAAATAAAACATTTCATGAAATAGAGAAAAAACCTTTTTGAAGCGTTCAACTTTGCCCTCTCTTGCCACCGTGAATATTTGAACAATATCAACTCTATAATCTGAATGTGTCTTGGCATGAGTGTTCTTCGTATACTTTGCAATCTAACCACAGACAGCAGAAATAAAGGGGAAAGTTATTGTAGCTAAAAAACATCAGAATGCATGGCTGCAAACCAACCCAAAAAACAAAAAAAGCATCGCTACAAGAAAAAGGAAATTGCCAATTTGGTTCCTTCATATGTAACTCTTTTTTCTAGCCATCTTCCATTGTTTTTTATATTCTATTATTTTTCCAAATTAGAATCTATTCTTCAAACTTTTAAGTTTTAACACTGCAAGAAAATGACAAATACCATGGCAAATTCCTCAGAATCATCTTCAAGTGGTCTCAGTTCACAGTGAAGTTGTTGGTAATTAAAATATAGAGGATCCTCCTACAATAGTGGCAAAAAAACTTAAAAATTAGTAATGGAGAGAATAGTGATACAATCAAATGATCAAGAAGAAAAGTAAAATTTTACGCCTTCATATGTATCTGTATGTGTCAACAATACATTCAAAGAAATTATAAATTCCAAAAACAGACGGCGCACTCTGTGCTGCCAAACCAATAAATGAGTGAATGTTTTAACCAACAAGTAATTGAAAAGAGAAAGAATGATTATTGGTGGACAATAGACTGTAGAATGTTAGAAAGTATGTAGCTGGAGTCTTATGATTTACAAGATATAGAATTTCTCTTTGCTGTTACAATCAACACAAAACCAGATATTGAGAAATTCAATAATCCTTAGAGATTAGTTCCTCAGGTCACATATTTGAAGGATCACAGAACAGTTAAAGCAATAAAAAGACCATACTCTCTTGTAAGTTTAAAGCTTAGACTTCAGAGGATATTGCACATTTGTAGTCAAGAACACCTAAAATTTCCATAAACCAATGATGATTGATGACAAAGAAATAAAAAATAATACCTTCATCAGTGGGTCATCCTTCAACAACTTGGTTGCAACCTTGATTTGTCCAAGTGCTTCAACCTTGCAAAAAGGCAATAATAATATAATAACAACAATGGACAACAACAACAAAAAGAAAAGTGTCTCACAGATATAAGCGACTGGTATATTTGTATGTATACACTATACACTAATAATATTCAGTATTATAATTTCTTTT